TAAAAAGTTTTTCAACAATGATCTTATGTATGATTATTATACCGGATGATTAAAAAAAAACGGCGTCCATTTGACTTGGAAATGACGATCGATTGCATTCCCTATATAATTTTACATACCATTGATGACCCCGTTTTTTTTTTCGATTATATTGTATAATGTTTACATATAATTAACATATAATAATTAACAAATAGTATAATAATTATCACCGGTATAATTATCTTTTTGGAGTTTTTTTAAATGACAAGTTTGATGTGATCAAAAGTAATTAAAAAAAACGTTTACATCCTGCCGAAATAATCGATCATCTTAGAAATAATCTACACCTTTAATACTGCAGGAAGTTCTAATTTATTATGTTTAGTATTCTTTAATCGTGTGCTATTGATAATTACAGAATATCGTCTAAAAATAATATTTTATCCCATTTAAGTGATCCTTATCTTACATATTTTTAGAATTAGTTGATCTTCATTTCAGAATTTTTTTTAAATATCTTACAATGCTACATTATTTCGGATAATAATAATAATTGTCTCTCATATAAATATAGCTTTTACACGTCTTGGGATTAAGAAGGTACAAATTCCCAGATTAGAGCAATTTGTACTTAATAATCCAATTCTAATGTTATTTGTAACGTATGCAGTACTGCTCTCAAAGGCAAAAGAGTTAGAGTTGAGTAGTACCGATTGAAAAAATTGGGAATATACGCAACCTAATGGGCAAATTCGTAACAAGGCTGATTTGATTTCCCCTTACGTTGCAAGTGCTGTACGGTGGAGCCTCTACTCGTTCTGCGGCCAACGCATAAAACATTCATTGTCTCTAATTCGGCTGGCGAAGGCATATCGAATATAGTGTGGAACTGAAAGCGACAGTATTGCTATATTAAAAGGTGTAATATCTGTAATACGTTTGACGAAATTATCTTTGGATGAAAAATCCGCGTTTATGTATTGAAAATTTATTCGTGTCAAACATTGAATACCAACAACAAAAATAAAAACTCTTTTATAGGTACTGAATATTTTTTATGATGGAAAAAAGTCGTTTAGTGGGCTTGAAAATGACGACATTTACCATAATATTTTACATATGAAATAACAGCGATCTTCATTTTCAAGGCAAGTTTGACGCCGTTTTTTGTTTAATTATATAATATTATACTAAATTGTTTAATGATAGACAATCCGTATTATTAACGTACTGTACCAAAAATCCTTAAAACTACAGATTAATCAGTAGTTCTGGCAACACTGTATCCGGCAAACACTCGCTCTGTCGACTGACAGCAGAACTAAACTTTGGCAGAACTACTACTACTGTGTTCTTTATCCGCTGTGCTGTAAACGACTATAGAAAATACGCGCGCCATACTTAAATCCGTCCTTTATGATTATCGCATGTGCGCATGCCGAGACATCCTAACCATTTAACAACGGCGGAAAGTAACGCCTGGCGATAGCAGTTCTGCAAGAGCACCTGTGGCTCCGTGGCTGAGACTATTGCTTCGTGAACGAATGGTCCGTGGTTCAAATCTCACGCCGGACCAAAACTTTTTTATATTTTTTTGCTTATAGCGTGATTTGATTGCATTCGTTTCACTTTTCACTCTTTTTGGTTGGATTGGTTCAGTTATTTGGCGGGTTGGTTAGCGTGGTTATTTGGAGGGTGTTAATTCATTGGTTAGTTGGTCATTTGGTGGTGTTGATTGGTTTTTACTAATTCATATTTGTTTTTTAGATATTCATTGATTTTCTTTATTATTTGTTTGGAAGTTTGTATCATTGCTGCATGTGCGCACAAGGCAATAATCATAAAGGACAGAAATTAGTATGGCGCGCGTATCTTGTTAAACGACCATCACTGCGCAGCGGCGCGCGGCGCAGTGCTAAAATAAATCTCGGACAGGTTGACGGTAACACCAGCTACATCTCGGACAGGTTTTGTGCCACGAAATCACTCATAAAGTTGCGCATCTTCTTATTACGTCAATCAACGGTTATACTTAACACTTTAATAATAACTGCCTTTAATTTTTTCCCTTTAAAGTGTCCAACGAGTCGGGGAAAAATATCGTCAGACTACATCCAAGAGACGACAAAAAATACAATGTACCCATGAATTAAAATTACAAACAACAGTGTGCAGATTTTACCCAACCTTTTTTCAAGTTACTCAATAAAGTAGTGTTTTAAGTTACAATATATTTTTGTGGTTATATATTGTTCTTATCATAACGACGAGAGTATTATGTACCCCTGTAACATTTCGTTTGTTTTCGGCTTTATCACAAAGCTATTTGTTTTAGATAAGTCAATTTGTTCGGTCCCTACACATCAATCTATCCCTACACACCTGTTTTTTCATAGCGTGCTACATATATTTTCATCTATTAGTCACGTAGTACGTGAATAACGTAAGCACTAAATTTGTTACAGCGATATCCAAGTTATATAAAGTTTGAATTAATTTGTACTCTACTTCTACATTTATTGTTTTCGACGTTATAGTAACTTATTTTCAATATAATATGCGGAGCGATAAACAATGATTAAAATAGTTGGCTCTTCCGATTTTGCCCGTTGGGTTGGCAATCATTTCAGGAAATCCGAATATTTTTTGAACGGTTCACTTCAAAAACATTTTAAGATATAGGTGTTCTTAGTGGAAAACTTCATTGACTACACCCAACAAATTCACGGGTGAATGCTCGGCTCTAGTATACCGGATGCATCTCAAAAGTGGCTTACCCCTGTAACTTTTTAATTTTTTCAGTTAAAAAAACGAGATTTGGGATATTAGTATATGACATAAATTAGGACTGATTAGCGTATTCAATTGTTTTGTGTCACTTCCTGTTTCACCGGAAATGACTACAACTTTTGATTTTTTAATGCCAACTTGCGGTTTGTAACGAAAATTTGACTCGAAATACCAAGTGTGTGGTATCAAATTATTCGTAAAAAAATGCTTTTTCCAAATATGCTAATGAGCCACCCACATTCCATTTGAAAAAATTGAGATATGATTAAATTGACAAGACACTAAAATTATTATTTATTTTTATTTATTAGACGATCAAATCTATTTTTCCAAGGCTCCTCGATTAAGAATTAGTGTTTTTAACATATCCATGGCACTCTAGATTGGATTTTGAAATACGATTTTTTATTAAGCGAAAATGTCCAAAGTTCACATATATCTATTCATTTTCATTCAGAATGTCATTTTCTATCGAATAAAGTAAAAAAATACCGAGGGTGCCATTTAAAAATCAAAAGTTGTAGTCATTTCCGGTGAAACAAAAATTGACCAAAAACAATTGAATACGTCAATCAATCCTAATTTATGTCATATACTAACGTACCAAATCTCGTTTTTTTAACTGAAAAAATAAAAAAGTTATAGGGGTGAGCCACCTTTGAGACGCACCCGGTATAGGCTCAGTAGTTTTAGGACTTAGTTTAGTTCACACTTTATAACGGTCAGTGATACTTCTGACCGAAATGTTGTGTAAGCAAAATAAATAAAGACAATGGAAGTCCGAAACTCCGAAGTCCGAAAAATTTTTTTTAAGTTTTAATCCTGAATCATACATTCAGAGTAACATTTTAAGATGTCATAAACTAGTTTTATTTAAAAACAAATGTTTGTTAAAACGTCTCCAATATACAATAAAATAAATGTTTAACATTAGTAGTAAGAAGTTTGAGGTTCAAGTTAACGTCTCCTTTCTGCTGCAATGGCTAAACGGGACGGGACCTACTTGTTTACGCGGAATCCGAACCGCGGTCCTCGGCCATATCATGGTCAATGGCCTACCGACTTAGGAAGTGTCTAAATTAACTCTTACTCACGAGATATCCGATCTCATCCGGCCTTGAACCGGCGTGAATGAGCAGTGTGTATCAATAGATTTTACACTTTTCCCTTTTGGACAACAGCACGATGCAAAGTTTCGAACCGGTCACCCGTCCATCCACTAGCATCGCCTTACGTCGCTTAACTTCGGTGTTCTAATGGGAACCGGTGTTTCGACGTAGCCGGGCCGTTGCCCTTAGTAAGAAGTTCGATATATTTTTATAAATAAAAGGCAAAATGTACCTTTATATGGGCTTACTAGCATGTACCCGCGACTTCGTTCGCGTCGAATTAATCATTTGTAATGGTGATGATAAAGCAAAGCAAGAATTTCCATTAACATACAAACTGGATAAAATTCTCGCACATTTATGTCAGCATGAGAAAAAAAAATTTTGCGATATTATTATATAACTTGGTAATAATATTTGAGGGGTAGTTTTATCTCGTTGGAATTTGACTTTCAAGAAATCTGTTTGCCAAAAATAAGCTTTTTACGTCAAGCAGTTTAAGCAGAATCGTGGTTAATCAATTACCCAACTTTTTGGAACACCATGTATTATTTTTAAAAAAATTTCAAAATGTGTAAAAAAAACAAAATAAATTATGCGTGACCCAAGGTTTTCCCGAAAGACTAACCATTTTTTAAATAACAAATATTGTAATATTTGAGATTCGAGAAACCCCTCCTTATCGAACCTCTACACCCCTCAGTCAATCTGTTTGCCAAAAATCAGCTTTAAACGTCAAGCAGTTTAAGCAGAATCGTGACTACTCAATGGTCATATTTTATGAAACATCCATTTAAATAAAAAATATTGTAATACTTGAGGGGTAGTTTCACCCCCTTGGAACTGGAATTTCGAAAAATCCCTTCTTATCGAACCTCTACACCCTAAAATCAACCTGTATACCAAAATTGAGCTTCTTACGCGTTGAGTGGTTTGAGCGGGATCGTGATTAATCAGTATGTCAGTCACTTAAGGATTTTATATATTAGTATAGATTATATTGTTCCATCTTCGTTCATTACTTCCTTGTTAACATTATTTTAGACATAAGCTAACGTTAGTTATTTCTTGTTTAATTATTTTAGCCCATATATTAATAACACCGTTTCTTGTTTACAGACTGTACAGCATGGGTTTCCCCATAAACCGACAGCCTTGGCGTGGGACCCATCCCTTCGGCTGCTTTCAATTGGAACAGCCACTGGTGCAATCAAAGTTCTTGGTCAACCAGGTGTGGAATTTTATGGACAACATCAAAACCCCATAGCCGTAACGAAATTAATATTTTTACCAGGAAAGGGGAAGGTAGTCAGTTTGCAAGATGACAATTCATTGCATTTGTGGGAGGTAAGAATAGTACATTAAAGGTCAGAAAAATCCCCATTTAGAACATTTTCATGACAATAACTGGTAGTAAAACCATAAATAAATGGAACAAGTTTAGATTGAAAAGTGCCCATAAGGACAATGTAAACACTATTTGGCGCTATTCTTGTAACGGTTGCGACCCAAAGCTTTTGATAATTTCGGATCGGTTCGGCTTTTTCCGGAATTATGTCACCAAATATTATTTATTCAAATTTATTATTATTTTCTTTTAATTTTATAAATAAAATACAGTGTGTTGCTAACAAGCCACTTTATTTTATACGAGGACACGTTCCACGATCCTCGATGGTTTTTGCAGTTCACAGTTCACAACACAGTTTCTTAGTTTTTAATGCCACCTCTTTCAGAATTATCACGGGTTTGAGTAAGTAAAATTAAAATTAAACTCACAAGATCGCAATAATTACTTTGAGAATGAACGATTTAAACACTTTTCAATGAGGGCGGTTTAAATTTTGAAACATTTTATCATTTTCGAGAAAATTATTTCTGTTATTGTTTGTGGTTGCTCTTAGCAACCGCTATGGCAGCGCCAGATCGCGTACAACGGTCGCGGCCCAAAACAATTATATATTTGACGGGCTTTCCAATCTAAATTTATTTTCTTTATCTATGAGCATGACCAACCTGACACACAGGCCAGAGACATCGATTTGTGACGTCACCGCACTAGTCCGGCTTTTGTATTGTGCCATATGGTACTGCATATAGGTTTTGCATAAATAATAGTATTTATTGATAGTTTTGCCAGATATAAATATGAAAAATATTATACAGAAAGGTATTAAAAAATAACATTAACTTTTTATCGCGTTAAAGTAATTGAATAGCATTAAAATTTAGATCTAAAGCACGAATATTAATATGAAATAAACTACAGCATAAGATGAACAAAATAAAATCTAGATAATAAAAAGCGTGTCCTAAAATTGCGTTAGCGAGTATTTAGCAACTAGTAATAATATACCTGTGATAAAAAGTTTCCAAATATTAAAAAATTTGAAAACTATACGTTTATCGACAAGTTAAGAAAATGTATTGTATATGATAACGGCAGAATACATTTTAAAGTTTAATTAAAAATAATTGTACAAATTTGCCTAACATATTTAAAAAATGTGGATATCAGATAGAATTAACTATTAACATTAAGTAATTTGTAGTTCGATGTTCATCAAGTAACCATCTCCATAAATCGTAAATAAAAAGATAAAGATATCATTTTTTTTATATAAAATACTGAAATAAAGTACAAATTCATTTAATTTCTTTAAAATATATTGACATTTCATAATAATAATACTTTTCAATATTTATTTCATCCTGAATTTCCAAATCTTGTTTTCTTTCATCGGGACGTTTTCTCTTTATGGGAACATGCACAGAGGGTCCATAAGAGGGTTGATTTGGAAACATTGTAGGCACAGCATGTTCTGTAGGTTTTGGACGTGACCTAGTTACAGTTAATATTGTTGGGAAAGAGAATGTAGACAGACTTATTATAATTGCTGCTACAAGGCACAGACCAATGTCGCGGATTTTTTTATTTCACAAAGTAAAAATAAAGAAACAAAAACTGGTTTTACATAAAAATACACGTCACTTACGTTGGTTTAACACTATACACTAACACTAACGCTATTAATTATGTTTTTATATAAATTCCCCAACTTTTTCCTAGCCCGGACACACAGCCGGCATCGCCGGTGTTACTATAATTTTTACCGAAATATGGCTTTTTTCGCGGGTACGATGTTATGAATCGGATCTAGATAGTTCACTATTCACTCAAAATTATTTAGTGTAATTTTATTAGCTTAGAAACGCGTAAAAAACACAGATTTGTTGCGATTAATGAAAACAATTGGTTTGTTTACGACTACTAATTCTGGACCACTTCGGTAGAACTGTCAAAATAGTCAGGCCTTGAATATGACGTTAGCCTCGCTATGAGTAAAACTAAACTTAACTAAGCGAACAGTCGCCAGGTTTTTAAAATCGATTGGTGACGTAGGGTGTCGCACTTGTCGCTGATTTGAATTTTAGGTGACAAAAAATATTATTTTTTTTTTAAATTTGTGTACTATTTTGGCCATTTTTTCTTTAATTAGTTGTGTGTTTATATCTTAAATTTAAATTACTGATAGAATTAAAATGACGATAACCTGCGAAGAAGTGTAGTAGCACAGATTAGGTATCCTATAAGTATACAGATAAAAATCTTGTCCCTAATTCGTGGTACGAAAATTGTTTTTTATGACGATGAGCAAACGAGTAAATTTTCTTTTGCGCAAAAATAAACTCCCGTTTAAACAGCGTAATAACTGGGCCGGTCACAAGGCCGGTCAGGTGCTGTGCACAATTTTAGAAGACATAAGTGGGCGTGCTTGTGCGCAAACTAGTAACCTAACTAATGCGCGACTCCGAAAATTGGAACCACGAAAAACAATGCTTTTGACGATAAGTTTATAATATGTGTGGTAGTAGCGTTTCTAATTGCGAAAATAAAAATGACATTTTGTTAGTTTTTCAAATATAACAAACAAAATATCGGTAAATTTCAGAACACTTTGATAAAATAGAAGAAATGTCAAATATTGACGTTTTTAAAATTCAATATTCTTATTATAGACCTTTTATTTTATGCTTAATTCATCTTTCAAAGCAATTTAATGCCAAAAGATAGCTTGGTTAAATTTCAGAAACAGTTATAGATATTCTAAACATGTCTAGAATTCCAATTAGAATCATAAGATGCAACAATATACAGGAATTTCAATTAAAAAAAAGGAAATAGCTACGAGTTGATCTGGCAACCCTGCAAGACCTTATATATTTTATACAGATAGCCTCATATTAGCTCATATATGGAGTCAAAATTTCAAATTTTTACCATAAATAATTCTCCATATATCGATCTCCATATACCATTTCTCTGATCGAAAAAAAAAACGGCGTCATAGACTGCTCGAGAATACTATTCAATGATAATTTTAACATCAATATCTAGACGTCATTTACTGAAAATTGACATAAAACTTGTCAAAAATTAACATTAACACTATATAATTATAAAAAGATTAAATAGGATAGACCGTTTCCAGATACAATAAATATACAATATATACAATAAATTATTTTATTGTATATAATATATACAATAACTTACAACCTTCTTAAGGCCAAAATTATCATTGATTGTCATTCCCCAGCCGTCTTCAACGCCGTTTTTTTTTCGATCGTATGATATAATGTGCTTTAGTAGTATCTTGAAAGAATTTTAAGTTAAATTCCCCATCCATATGTCATGACGAAGTGATATTACTACTTTATTCAATTTTTATTATTTTTTTTAAGTAACAATTTTGTTATTCCAGGTTAACAAAAGTTCATTGGTAGAAGTTAAATCCCAGTCGTTGGAAGGAAAGTTGAAAACTATTAGTACCGTATGTTTGGAATCGACAGGAGAGCACCTGTTGCTTGGAACAGAAGGTGGCAACATCTACCTATTAGAACTAAATACGTTTACTATGACGCCAGATATAATTTACCAAGATGTTGTTATGCACAAGTAAGTTTTTTCATACTTGAAAATGTATCTTAAAGCACGCAAATTGTTTGTGAACTTGGTGTCCACACCAAAGCAGCATTGGTTTACAACAGTTATTTTTTTGAACAACATTTATTGATTTGAATGTTATCCATATAGATTATAGTTTATGATCTAAGATTTATTCAAACGTAATAGATTTAAATATGTTTGTTTATTGTCTAGTGTGCCTCAAAATTACAAGTTAAATCCTGGTCCCGTGGAATCAATCATCGAACAGCCTGACCAGCCTAACAACATCCTCATAGGTTACAACAGAGGACTGATTGTCTTTTGGAACAAGGCGGAAAATGCGTCTACTAAAGTATTTATTTCCAATCAGCAACTGGAATGTTTGTGTTGGAAGAGCGACCATATCTTCCTTAGTAGTCACAACGACGGTAAGTATTTTTATTTTTTCGATATTAGATACATAATGACAATTGTAACGTCAAACAGAACTGTCAAGCGAGGGGTTTCATGATGTCGATATGGAGAGTTTTGGCACAACATAATCTTAACGTTTCGTTACTTATTAACGCTAACTAAAACGGTAAAGTTATTCAAGTGCAAAATTATTCTTTGTAAAATATAAAATAATAAATATAGACTTTTTTACTACATTTTATGTTTTATTAGGTCATTAGAAGTGTAACCTAGTCAAAACCAAATTAAAATTATGAATACATACATTTTACCAATAGAGCACACAGCGCCTATTTTTTTAGATTTAACAAATAAATTATAATATATTAAAAATATTATAGACTAGTAATTTTAAACTTTTACTAAAAATACTATATATTACCAACTATGTAGGTACTTACTTATTTATGATTAAACTATCATTTTATATTTGGTTCCTAAATTTATCATTTCTAAAATGTCAAAATTTCTTTAATTAAAAAGGTTAGTATCTAACCCGAAAATGATGATCGACTGTAAATATCAAAATGCACAAACTATGAACACAAATCACCGAACTTTTCGACAAATCAGGAATATCTGAATTAATAATTATTTAAATAATGATTTAAAAATGACTTGACGGATCACCAACATTTTGTCAATTAGACCAAAACTAGACAATAGACGGTAGTCAACATAGAGGCTGTCATGTCATCTTCATATATAAATTAGAAACTTCAATTCAATGTCAACAAAAATGCAATATCTTTTGCGCCGTCTGGCGATGCGGAAGAAACTATATTTATAGTTCTTTAAAATTACCATTGAGTATCTAGGGCCTGATTTTATCTGTAATGCATGAAAACATGGATAGCATTATATTCCTTCTCTAATCTATTTATTAAACTTTTTCGCATTTTTTCTAAATACCGTTAATTTTATTAAAACAATATTTATTATAACTCTACAATTTGACAGATTCTGTTACTGTATGTCATTTTTCTTATAGGCAGCTATATGGAATGGGATGTCAACCAGCCTGACAAACCCTGCGGTGAACCAGTATCTACGTACGGTCCATACGCTTGCAAGGCTATCCCGAAAATCATTTCACGCGACTTGAATGGAAAAGAATTGTTGGTATTTTCAGGCGGGTTGCCTAGAGGAAACTATGGTGACAAATACGCCGTGTCCGTTATCCATGGAGATAATCATGTAGCATTTGATTTTACTAGTAAGGTAGGGTTTTTTAAATGTGTATCATTTTTTAACCGTATACGCTTTTTTATTAGTATCCTTCAATCACTGTGGACCGCTAGGGTGTCCGTTATTTCCCAAGTTGATTTTTTTTTGCTGCCGCCCTCTGAAGTTTTAGTTTTTGGTGTAAAAAAAAATTATCCAACGTAAACAAGCTCTTAATTTTTAATTTAAACCATGCCGGAATCATGATACTTTTCCCATTTAAATAACATGGGATTTTCTGACAAATCAAATTTTTCTATCATTCACTCCAAATTTTAATTGCGCCTTTTGATTTTGACTAAAAAAGGATCTAGAGCCATACTTTTTTCAATAAAACAATATTTCTTTACCAACTTTAATAAGGAAAACAAATATTGCGCCATCTATGATCAATTAATCAAAACTATAATTTAAGGTTATTGTTTCATTGCTTTTCAGTGTTCGTAAATATATGTCAATTGAAAAGAATGAACAAATTTCGAGTTGTTTTTATCTTAAATATTACTTTTATCGAATTAATTAAATTAAATTATTTTAATTAATTCGATTCATGTAATATTTAAGATAAAAATAAACCATTAAAAAGATTAGATTAAATTATTAATTAATTAAAGTAAATTAAATTATTAATTAATTAAATTAGATTATTAATTAAATTAATTTAATTAATTCGATACAAGTAATATGTAAGATAAAAACCACTCGAAATTTGTTCATTCTTTTCAATTGACACATATTTACGAACACTGAAAGCCTAGATCATATATACTTACATGGATAAATCAACGCCATAAGTTTAGCATTAAAAAATATATCCCCAACATCACGACATGCCATTTTCAAACCTTCTTTATTGCACTTATGAACGTTCAATAGGTTTGTCTTTCTAGAGCACCTGACTTTACGCATGCGCATTAAAAGTGGCACGTATTTCCAAAATAATTACAATTTTATCCGGTTTAGAAAGTACAAATTATACATTGTTATGGAAACCAACTTTTCATTGTCATCGTATTGTCATAATCTTGTCATAATCATATGTCATAATGTTATTTCCATTGTGTAACGACGCTTGTTTTTTTGCGTTTTTTATTTTAAACATCTCTTTTATCGACCGCTTTTATATAGCCAAGGATGCAAGTGTGTTCAGTGAGAAGTTAATTTTAAGTTTGTGCAATTATATTTCTATTTTTTACTCGTTGGGTTTTACATTTTGGGTAAATACTTGTAAAAATGACAAGAAAGTGTTTGGTGTGTTGAAATTATAATATAAATGACCCCGAATTATCTTTTCACAGGCAAGTAAAGTATTCAGTTGTTCTTTTATGTATATTAAACCACATGCATACTTTCTAGTTAGATTTCCTAAGAATATTGATATTCGTACGGAGTGGCTAATTTATTTTTTATTTAATTTAATTTTTGTGACAGTAACATTCAATTATTGTTCAAATAGATGCATTTTACAAATTAAATTTTTAAAATTAATGTTCAAATTTGACGCGTGGACGATAGGTCCTCGACAAGGATAGATAGAGTAGAAGCACCGCGTGTGCAACAAAAAAAGAAGATAAATGGAAGTCGTTGATATGTTTGGGACAGTTTCCATAGTGATTTACTTATCCACGTAAGTATATATGATCTAGGACTGAAAGGCAATGAAACAATAACCTTAAATTATAGTATTGATCAAATATTGGTCATAGATGGCGCAATATTCGTTTTCCATATTAAAGTTGTTAAAGAAATATTTTTTTATTGAAAAAAGTACGGCTCTAGATCCTTTTTTAGTCAAAATCAAAAGGCGCAATTGAAATTTGGAGTGAATGAGAGAAAAATTTGATTATAAACTATGTGCATAATTTTGACCGCGAATAACTTTTAAAGGGATGGTTTTATGAAAAAAACAAAGATATCCTTTTTGGAGAGCGTAAAATTTTGTATTAGAATATGTCTTTGTAGAATCTGTAGGTTCATTTGCTTTGGAGATAAAAAATTAAATGCAAAAGGTAAGAAAATCCCATGTTATTTAAATGGGAAAAGTATCATGATTCTTTCATGATTACGTTGGATAATTTTTTTAGACCAAAAACTAAAACTTCAATGGGCGGCAGCAAAAAAAATCAACTTGGGAAATAATGAACAACCATAAATTACAACCTATCGGACCGCTTTATTACCAAACCCCAACGTTAACGTGTTAATGTCAGCCTTAACTGATACACAATATGATCGAAAAAAAAAAACGCGATGGCTATGAAGATTGCGGACATTTTAATTGTAAAATCATATGGGGAATATCGTTGTATATTTGTTAATATCGTTGTGTATCTTCATTTCTAAGTCAACTGCACGCCGGTTTTTTTTTCGGTCATACGGTATTACATACTACAACAGCAAAAAACTCATTGTCTTTTTTCTGTGGTCAAACTATATTACGAGTTTAAATGCATGCGCTTCTTTAAGAGAATTTGTATATTTTAAGAATTACAATTAAAATTACGATTTTTTGGACGTTTTTGCTAGATATTTTACTAACCCTTTAAAAATAATGAAGAATAAATTTAATTAAGAACAACATTTTTATTTTGCAACTAACAATTCGTTTACTTGTGCTTATTAATGTATCTTTCGTGTTATGCCCATTTATTCCATAAAGACTGTCCATCAAGAGATGTTGCTGCCATATATTTCTCTTGTTGAATAGACTACACACTTTTATTTCCCGTTGCTAATCATTGCAGTAGAAGTTTATGAAAAAAAATATTAAGTACATGGATCTCCAATAATCGAAATGATTTAGGTTCAAGCTTCTCGATCATCTCTTTCCTACCTGTTTCTTTTCCATGCTTTTACTTACGCTAATACAAATCGCTAGCCTCTTTGAATTTAACCATGAACGTTGTCATTAACCAATCTAAAACCATTTTACTCAAAATTAATGTCGTTCTTTTTCCTGCTTGTTCGGTGGCAGATTGGCAGTGAGAAAAACGATAACGAGAGTGAAGACGAACAGTTCGGCAACAAGGTACCGTTATTAATAGAGGTTATACAGATCTGGCCATTCTAAATCCGTGCTCTGTATTTCATTGCGTAAGATAATGATGGAGATATTCTAATAGCTAAAACAAACAAACGATAAAGAGAAACAAAACTTAGGCTGATATTTTTTTCCTATAGGGTATTGCCGGATTTCCACAGAGTTATCTTTTTCCACTTCGCTTATCTTTAACCTTTATAATTTGCGTAGGAATTGGCAACCTCGAATTTCTCTGTCTCTCTATTAACTGATTTATAATATAAGTAAGGTATCTTTATCTTCGTCTTATGCATTAAAATACAGACTACGCATTTAGAATGTTCAGGCCAGTAAGCCATTATTTCGAACCCTTTCCTGTTTACGGTTTATTTTGTGCATGGATCTTTAAAATTAATCAGAATCTCTTTTCTTTTGTTGTTTATTGCTAGCGGCATGGGTATTATATTAAAAAATGTGTTTTGTGGATAGTTCTAGATGTTTTTAGAACTAATTATATTTGTTTGAGTGTGTTATACATTTATACTGGAATCTCTTCTTATTTTAGCATTTAGAATTGTTTTCTCTTTACTATCAGCGTGCAGACTTTTTAACACTACTTATATTTTTATGTCAACAGGGAATAAGTTGTTATATCTAGAAATTTACCTAATTCTTGTGACCGCAGACTAATATTGTACAATACGATCGAAAAAAAACGGCGTCAAACACACCTGAGGAATGACGAATCGATAATAATTTTGACGAGGTAAAGCTGTAGACGCCATTACTTGGCCTGTACTCTTCTTCATTTTTTAATGGCGCTTAGTGTCAGTTGGCCTTAAGAAGGTTGTAATTATTTTTATATTGAATAAACATTATTTTTAAATGGTGTAGTTTAAAATTCGAGAAAATACCGGGTGCGTCTCAAAAATGGCTCACCCCCTATAACTTTTTTATTTTTTCAGATAAAAAAACGAGATTTGGTATGTTAGTACATGACTTAAATTAGGATTGATTGACGTATTCAATTGTTTTCGGCCGCTTCCTGTTTCACCGGAAATGACTACAACTATTGATTTTTAAATGGCATCCTCGGTTTTTCTTACTTTATTCGAAAGAAAATGAAACTCTAAATAGAATGACATATTATATGTCAACTTTTGACATTTTCGAATGTGGTTTATTTGAAATTGCAACATGCGGTTCATAACGACAATTTGACTCGAAATATCAAGTGTGTGGTATCAAATTATTCGTAAAAAATGATTTTTCCAAATAGGTTAATGAGCCACCCTCGTTCCATTTAAAAAAATTGTGATATGAATAAAAATACGGTTTGGACATCTTTTAACTGACCAGGACAAAACATTAAAAACATTAGACGATCAAATCTATTTTTCCAAGGCTCCTTGACTACAAATTAGTGTTTTTAACACAACCATATGGCACTGTAGATTGACATCTAAAATACAATTTTGATTTAAGCCAAAATGTCAAAAGTTTACATATGATATGTCATTCTATTTTCTATTCAGAGTGTCATTTTCTATCGAATAAAGTAAAAAAATACCGAGGGTGCCATTTAAAAATCAGAAGTTGTAGTCATTTCCGGTGAAACAGGAAGTGGCCTAAAACAATTGAATACGTCAATCAATCCTAATTTATGTCATATACTAACATACCAAATCTCGTTTTTTTTATCTGAAAAAATAAAAAAGTTATAGGGGTGAGCCACTTTTTAGACGCACCCCGTATAATTTTAAACGTTCTATCTTTTTTTAATCTTTTTATAATTAGTGTTAATTTTTAACAGGTTTTGTGTCAATTTTTAGTAAATTAAGTCTAGAGATTGATTTCGCCAAAATTATCATCGATCGTCATTCCTCAGCAGTCTTTGACGCCGTCTTTTTTCAATCATACTGTATTTTGATTAATAGGGTGGCAAAAATAACGACTTATTTTAAATATACTTGCTCTTTTTCCGGCAGTTTTTGTTTTAAAGTTTTAAACCTTGTTTTAACTGCACATATCATTCTTTTCCTTTTATTTCTAGGTCATAGACTTTTTGTTAGTTGAATCAAAATTGGATGAAAACGAAGACGAAGAAAAAGAAGAAAACAACGAAATTGTCATTTCCAACGATGACAGGGCTAAGCAGCAACCGGACGTTCTTATCGTGTTGGCCGAGGAGGAATTGGTTGTTATTGATTTGTCCAGTAAAGACTGGAAAATGATGAACCTGCCTTATTTGGTTGCGTTACATTCTTCGGCGGTGACTTGCAGCCAATACGTATCAGGTAATTTTCTAGATATTATTATACTACCGTTGATTGAAGAAATAAGATGAGCAACCTTATGAGCGAATTCGTAGCACAAAAATGTCCGAGATGTAGCTGGTGTTCCCGTTATATGTCCGAGACTTAATTTAGATCTGCGCCGCTGCGCGCTGATAGTCGTTTACAACGCAGCAGTTAAAGAATTAGTGATGTGTCGGTATTTGAGTAACGCGATTTTGGAGCGGTATTTTTTTGTAACGTCGTGTCGCGTTCTACAACGAATCAGGAACCTGTTACTAAAGAACGACGATCATAATGACAAAATTATAAATGATTTACAATTTGCAAATAAATTATTTATAATCGCTCTTGAAGTTAGCTCGAACCGTAGTAACCGCATAGCGACGTGTTTAGCTCCAGCAGTCGCAATTTCGTCGGTCGTCAACAGTAGTAACTGGAACTGGTATGTACGTAGCGTCGCGCGTGTTCGTTCCAGCTGTCGCGTCGCGCTCTTAGAGCCGTAGTTCCGCCTGTCGTGAACAGAAGTAACTGGTAACTGCTGTAACTGATTATCGACCTGGGCGGCGACGTACTTCGCTCCAGCCATCGCTCTTCTAGAATCGTAGTTCCGTCTGTCGCGAACAGAAGTAACTGGCAACTGCTATAAGGCTGATAACACACGAGGAGGTTGTTCGGTGATTAATTGTTGTCTGCTTGTGCACGTCGTAACTATGTCGAAACTTTCGACTCTAGTTGTTTTATTCCTTCGTAAATTTAACTAAAGTGATTATGCTATTTTGAGAAACATTTTGTTTCATTTCTCGCCCCTGTATCATAATAATAGAAATCTTACCGAGAATTTGTGGCATACGTCACCTTAGAAGATAATAGCTTTTTTTTAAATCTGAAACCCTGTCAAAATAATCTATTTTTAATAAAGTTCTAGCAGTTTGAAATTATATAATTTATTAATTCATTATTTTTTTAATTTATTAATATTTCGATATCCAAATTTTCCATTTCACTGGCAACACTGAGAATAAAAAGCGCTCTAAAAACCGCTCTCGTCTGTTTCGTACAATGTACAACCTGGTACAACCATATACTGACGCGCTGCTTGAAGTCGTAAAACCTTGTACAGGTAAAGGCAGCCGCCGTCGACGAGGTACCGTGTGTTTTGTAACATTGAAGTCAATTGGCGTCCCATTCGCCGCCTGTAAGCCTCTTCGTGTGTCCTCAGCCTAACTTGTTATCGACGCTTGACCTCGGCGGCGTCGTTCCAGCAGGCGCTGGAGCGCTTCTAGTTTTCCGTTTTCGCCGTCGCGATTTGGTCGGTTACTATTGGCGTTGTTGCTCCCGTCGCGTCGCAACGTTACTTTCGAAATAGCGATTTTTGGTATGTACTAGGCATGGTATAAAATAGCGTTGTTTGAAAGATGAAACGTAAAAGCAAATAAAATAAAATAAAAATTTTATTTGCTTTTATACATTTATATAAGTTTTATTGTTTAAATCTATTTTTAAAGTCTGATGATGGCTGGAATTGCCGAAACCATCAATAAAGATTTTTTTTTGAAAGTGGTTTGGACTTTGTTCTTGATTTTAACATTAAATATATTATATTGCAATACACATAAATATGAGTCGTTGATTTTATTTAAAGGAAGGAAAATAACAAGGAATGTCATCGTTTTTCTAAAAATGAGATAGATTGGCTATACACAAGTATAAACTCGATATTTGGAAAATAAGTTGCGGATAAAAGTTACATTAATCTACAAATATAGATATGTTAGATATATTATTTAATATACAAGTACGATTGACAAAAGCCAATATCTAGGACGGTTTTATAGAGGGTAATTCTACATCTCCAATATCAGTCGTACCAAAATTCATGGCACGAATGGTTGTCGTCTCGACGCACTCAGTGATGAGGTGTGACGCACTCAGTGATGAGGTTCTTCTTAGTTTCAATCTACTGAGGTGTTCACAACCTAAGTTTATGACACGAATGGTTGTAACAGCTGGTACAAATGTAAGAACCTGACAATACTGATTGGAGTAGGTAGGTACTAATCCCAGAAATCGTGCATAAGCGAGGACCGCGACACTTTGGAAGTCGATTACACTTTTTTTGGAACCTCAATTACGAAATCGCGGTATTTTTCTGGAACGGTCGCTATTGTAACGTGACTCATGCGGAACCGGTATTCCCATCACTATAAAGAATACAGTACCGTAGTTCTGCTTTCAGTCGACAGAGTGGGTAGTTGTCGGAGACAGTGTTGCCAAAAATATTGACTAATCTGTAGATTTATGGATTTTGGGTACACTACTTTAATAATACAAATTTTCTATCATTAAACAAAGAACGGCGCCAGAGTTGGCTTAGAAATGAAGATCGCTGTTATTTCATATGTAAAATATTATGGTAAATGCCGAGTCCTCAATGTAAAAGTCCTCATTTTCAAGCCAACTAAACGACTTTTTTCGATCACACGAAATATTCAATATCTATAAAATAATTTTTATTTCTGCTGTTTATTCTATGTTTAACACGAACAAATTTTCAATACATAAACGCGAATTTTTCATCCAAAGATATTTTCTTGAAATGTATTGCAGTACTAAGCATTTTCATTTGACAACACTGTCGCTTTCAGTTCCACACCATCTTCGGTATGTCTTTGCTAGCCGAATTAGAGAAAATGAGTGTTTTATGCGTTGGCCGCAAAACGAGTAGAGGCTCCACCGTACAGCACTTGAGACGTAAGGGGAAATCAAATCAGCCATGTCACGAAATCGTCCATTAGGCTGCGTATCTTCCCAATTCTTTCAATCAACTATATTACAGTATGTTTACTGCTTATTTTTGTGTACAATACCTCTTTAATCGGATCAGCTAATTGTAACAACCTATTCCGATTGGCGAATCATTCCAATTAGCGAATATACATATTGTGCAAAAAATAAACTTATGGATATTTATGTAATAATAATACATATTTATTGATTAAAGAGGTTTCACTATATTTAATTTTCTTACTGTCATGGATTTTGGCAATTTTCTTTGTATATCTTATATTATTATCAAATAGTATAAGAATAATTAAGAGAATTTGGAAAATGTTATTTTGTTTGTGCTAATAAACTTGTCCTATTGAATGATATATTAAGTTTTATTAATTTTGAAACATTTCCTTTCTGACTAGGTATACCAGAGGAATTATGGGAACATCTCAGAGACGCTGGCCGTGCTCAAACCAGCCATTTGTATTCGGAAAGAGAATGGCCTATAGATGGTGGAAAACTATTGTGTTCAAAGGGTAAATTTGGTTGTTACTGATTGAAAGAAAATACTAATTATACTTAAAATATTATCAGGTGCACAACCCAGAAGGGAACTTTTGCTAACTGGTCACGAAGATGGTACTGTTAGATTCTGGGATGCTGGAGGAGTTACTTTGACATTAATATACAAATTTAGTTCAGCACAGTTCTTTACCGGCGACGAATCGGATGGTAAGAATTGTTTGATCCATCTACCACCACTACCTGATTAGTTCGTTGTTCGTTTACTCTCATACTTAAAACAACTTATTTGAGTCAGTAATTTTTTTTTTTATTTTATTATTAGAGAGTCCTGTCAATCAAGACCAGGATGAGGAAGAGTGGCCGCCATTTAGGAAAATTGGTGTTTTTGATCCTTATTCAGATGATCCTAGATTAGCTATCAAGAGAGTAAGTTTTTTTTAATTTTTTTGACAAAAGTCATCACTATTTAAACCGTATCCGACGAGTCAGGGAATATTTTGACAGATGACATCAAAAAGATGACACAAACAATTGAATTTACTTGTGAATTAAAATGACAGATAACTGTCACTATTAGGTACCCTCTTGTTGGATAAGCTTTTTAGTTATTAAAGATATTAACACCTATAGTGAAAATTAGTGACTGAACTTCGTCCAGGGGAAAACATGATAAGCGCCATTTTACTAATTTTACATTTAACACTGAACGGCTGGTGGTTATCGGGTTCTTTCCCCGTATTCTTTATTTTTATTAGGGATATATCATAGGACATAACAACTTATTACTCTGAGGGTTTACACATCTTATAGAGATCATAACCTATACTATTGTAAATTCCTAAAATTAACAAATTGACGAAATGATTGAAAGAAATGTGACTGAAAAAAGAACAAAGGAAAAAAATAATGTTCTAAGATTAAGAAAAAGATTTGAAGTAAATAATGTTCTAACTGCCAAAATCATTATTTCGAGATAAACATTTTTTATTTACAGCCAGTGTATAAGAACGGGCAGTGTTTCTTCTTGAGAAATTTTTTCAATACAATTTATAGTCTAAGAGCTAGCAACGTTTTCGAGAAAGTTTAAGACGTCTGGCTCTTTGATATATCTTTTACTATGCTCTCTGGAACATCATGCGGCCCGTCTGGCTGCCGATACCCGTTGCGTTCACTAATGCGCATCGGAAGAAGATCCTATATTTTTTATTAATTTAGTCATATAAATTCTAGTATTGAATATAAATCGAACATGTCTCCATAGCGCAGTGCGTAGAGTTTCCGACCACGAACCGATGATTCAGAGTTCGAATCCGGGTCAGGTCAAAAACTTTTTTATTTTATTTTTGTTTATATTCTAATAGTAAAGTATTACATAATTTTGGTAATTAAAAAAAACAAATATTTAATATTTTACTATTAGAATATAAACGAAAATAAAATAAAAAGTCTTTGCCCTGATCCGGATTCGAACTCATGAATCATCGGTTCGTGGTCGGAAACTCTACGCACTGCGCTATGGAGACATGTTCGATTTATATTCAATACTAGAATTTATACGACTAAATTAATAAAAAATATAGGATCTTCTTCCGATGCGCAGTAGTGAACGCAACGGGTATCGGCAGCCAGACGGGCCGCATGCTGTTCCAGAGAGCATAGTAAAAAATATATCAAAGAGCCAGACGTCTTAAAATACTTGTTTTTCCGACGTTGCTAGCTCTCGTACTATTAGTAGCTGTAGCATTTAGCGCTTTATATTTGTTGCTCGGTGGCGTAGAGGTACAGGCTCTCGTCTACCAATTTTAAGGTAGTGGGTTCGAATCCCACACTCGGCATTTCACCAGCCGACTATTTTTATTAAAATAAAAATAGTTTGGGTACCTAGGTCGACTCAGCCTTAAATGAGTACTTGAGATTCACAATCCTGAGGTAATAATAGGCGGTTGAAGCGCAGTGTTAGCCACATTACCTTCCTTGTATACCGAACGGCTCTAGTATGGCAAGCTGTACCTTGCTACTCCCAAGGCGTTAAACGCTATATACGGGAGCCATTATTATTATTACATATTTGTTGCTTGTTATGGGCCTTATTTGTCATGTTACATTTTACAAATAAAACATGACAAAGCGTTTTTTAGACACTTAGAACAATATTTACTTCAAGTCTTCAAATGTATTAGCTCTAAAGTTTTAATTTTATTATGCTATCGGAATGCAACAGAGGCAGAGCATGTTCGTCAATTTTATTTATAAACAGACTTATAGTCGTTTTTATTTGGAGTTAGTCTATCAAAATTATATATTCCCTCGCTAGACCAACTAGGGCATTCATTTGATTTTCTAACAAAACACAGTAAAAGAACATGTAAATGACCATAAAATTTAACTCACAAAACTAGGACAATAGGATAATAAAACTGGCGAATTGGAAACAATAGAGAGTAGAATTTGTTTCATTGTTTTATGTAAGGTATTAATAGACTTGGTTATAAGTTGATTGTTTTTATTTGAGCTGTTAAGCATTTTTTTGTCCGTCCACAAGAGAGAAAGAAAATTGCATATTATATTGTATCTTTGGCAGTTTTTCTGTCTTTGGCTATTATGTTTGCCTTAATTTAAGTTGCAATTTTTCCACCGTTGTAGCAACATCTTTGTAAAGTTCACAGTAGTGTTCTTTGCCTATGTATGGAATTGATGGCTTTTTTGGTCATTTTAACCGCATTTTCGTTGCTAAAAAATGTCTATAGCTCTGTGGCGGATTCATCTCTTCAAAAAAGACCATGTGTAAAACCACTGTAACTCCCGTCACTGTAAGAAAATCTACAAAATAAAATAGGTATTTTTTGTAAACACTGCTGCCTTAATCCAACGGAGACTAATTTGTCAGCAGTGATTTACTAATAAACAAATTTGCCTAACGGACAAAAAAATGCTTTTTTGTCTGAAAAACATTGTTTGAAAAACATTTCGGGGCTTAGCATCTCTTCTCGTTTGCAAAGCATTTCTTTGCTTTTTGAGGACTTTTTTGAAGAAATTTTCGTTGTTCTTATGAGCCTTTTGCTTCAGCTCCCAGGGTAACCTAACGTTGCTTCGTTCTCATTGCAAAATCTCATACTAGTTGAGAACTAACATAACTTAACTCTATAGCAGGGATGGCAAACCTTTTTGACACCTGGATCAAATTTTGTTAATTTTTTTAGAACTAATTCGTATTTCTCAATCACTAATTGGTGCGTGGGACTATCAAGTACTATGGAAGTCTCTTTCTACAAACATAACTGAACATAACCTTAGAAAAGTTTATTTTTGGTTTAAATTTTTGGTTTGTCGACTTTTTAGAAAAGCGCCGGAGCAAAAATATTTTTTGCGGTCATGTCGAAAAACGTCCCTTATCTCGTTAGATAGGGTATAAATATACAGTTAAACTCTTTATGGAAATGTAGATAAAACAAAGGTGTATATATTTTGAATACAGGTTGCGATGTGTCCACTTTCTGGTACTCTGGTAGTAGCTGGAACTGCTGGCCAAGTCATCATTGCCAAATTCGACACGGAAGTTTTAGATGGACCATTAAAAGTTACCACGATGAACATCGTCAGTGATCGGGACGGTTTTGTATGGAAGGGACATAGTCAGTTAGCACCAAAAACAAGTAAGAACATGGGCAAACTTAAAAATTTGTATATATTCTGTTTATTTTTATTGTTATTATATGGTATTTAAAGATTTTTTTAGTGACTCCGTGTATTTATACTATTTTAATTTTATTATGTTATGTGATTTCTTTTAGGTAATATTCACCAAGTTAGAGGCTTCCAAACTACGGGTATTTTACAGCTACATCCACCTGCCGCAGTTACTTGTGTCATTTTACACGCAGATTGGGGTTTGGTCGCAGCAGGCACTGCCCACGGTTTAGCTCTTATGGACTACATAAAGAACAAACCCGTTGTTGTCAAATGTACCTTAAATCCAAATGGTAAAATATACTTCATATATATTTCTTTTAGGTTTAATAGTTTTGAAAGTGAAACGTTTTTTTGAAAGTCTAACGTTATTTTGATTATTGCTAGATCTCACTGGCCAAGGAGACGCTCCTATCACAAGACGAAAATCGTTCAAAAAATCTTTGAGGGAGTCTTTTAGGAGATTAAGAAAAGGCAGATCGACAAGGAGAAACACGAACAAAGATGATAAACCGGTGAGTTGGCCTCTTAGAGCACTTTTATACGAAGCCACTTGTGTCCGACACAGGCGTCCACTATCGTTGTTCAGATTTAGCAAAGTGTTGTTTAAAAAATCCGCTATCGCCACAAGCCCGACCACTCGACACTGTTTTAGTTTTAGCAGTGCATTGTTTTCGTTAGAGGCGTACACCAGTCACATTTTGTGTCGTATCTTTGGTTTGGTATCAATTATTTACTTGGAAAGTTAGTTTGTTATTGAAATATTAATTATGGAGAGAAGTCTTGATTGAAATATTGGGTATTTTATAACTGCCATTGAAGGGGGGAGGGGCAATTATATGGAACAGTAATTTAGAAAATTATACTGATAAAATTATAAAATAGACTTATTTGATATCCCTCAGATAATAATGGGTGTATCCATATATTTTTCTTTAGTTTCTGCCGTTGATTTATTAACACTACAGTCAGTAATGTTGCTTTTCATCCATCTTTAAACTATATCCATAGATAAATGAAACAAGTTTAGATCGGAAAGTGCCCATAAGGGCAATGTAAATACTATTTGGCGCTATTCTTGCAACGGTCGCGACCCAAAGCTTTTGATAATTTCGGAGCGGTTCGGCTTTTTTCGGAATTATGTCGCCAAATATTGTTTATTCAAATTTATTATTATTTTCTTTTAGTTTTATTAATAAAATACAGTGTGTTGCATACAAGAAACTTTATTTTATATAAGGGCATATATGAAATACCTAGGAAACATTAGAAACTGACTTTATGCCACGATCCACAATGGTTTTTGCAGTTCACAGTTCACAGCACAGCTTTTTAAGTTTTTAATGACACTTTTTCACTATATCATGGGTTTGAGTAAATAAAATTTAAATTAAACTCACAAGATAGCAATAATTACGTTGAAATGGACGCTTTAAACACTTTTCGGTATTTTTTCAATGAGAGCGGTTTAAATTTTGAAAGATTTAAAATTTTTGAAGATTCTGACTTTGACAAGAGAAAATTATTTCTGTATTTGTTTGGCGGTTGTTCTTAGCAACCGCTATAGCAGCGCCAGATCGCGTACAACAGTCGCGATCTAAAACAATTATATATTTTGACGGGCATTCCGATCTAAATTTATTTCCTTTATCTATGACTATATCTAAAGGATTTTCTCAATTTAATTTGGTATTCTGATTTGTGTTAGTCACGGCTGTCAATGAGTGGGACTGATAAGCCACCGGTGACGGAGAAAAAAAATAATAAAAAGCCATGAATTAGACGAATCAGATCGTTTTATTTGGTGCGTACGCACGTAAATCCTGTTGAACGAAAAGGATAGACAAGGCAAGATTGATATTCCTATTTCTTTTCTATGGCTTCACTTTCCACTCATTGTGTCAATGTGGTACTAGCAATATAGTGTAATATATATATATGCGTGCAAGAGTTACCAAGCAAAACTAACCAAATTTCGAATATTTTCAGACACCTCCAGTTAACTCTCCCCCAGTAAGAAAACCTCCAACCACAAATACTGAAGAAGGTGGAGACTTTAACCCTCTGGAAGCTAAACCTGTTGAAAGACAGATCGAAGCCAGACCTGCTGACGATTCTATGGGTTCATTCGTCAGATGTCTGTACTTTGCCAGAACCTTCCTTGTTAATGGTAACTACAATGCTGCATTTATCTTTGAATATTGTTTAATATTTTTTTATTTGTTTCAGTACAAAACACTATTCCAACCCTTTGGGCTGGAACAAACAATGGGACGGTTTATGCCTTCACCATATTAGTACCATCGACGTCAAAACGAGAAACTGACGATGTATCCTGTCATCTGGCGAAAGAAATTCAACTAAAACACAGGTATGTTTATATTCCAAAGCACCTTTTTACGTAGAATTTAATGGTTTAAGTATACTTTTTTTAAAATTAATAATTTAAGAGTTATCAACAGAAAAATTTATTTTTTATTTGGGACGCCCTGTATATTTTTAATCAAATGAAAAAAATTTAAAATTACCTTTCGAAAAATATAGCACACTTGATATTTTGTTATAATCCCCTTCAAAATACAGAATTTTTAAAAGTTCGCCTCTTTTAACTAGTAGGCTTTGGACGCCTTATTGATGATCTGCCCCTAACGGAACTTGAAAACATATTTTTCCAGCAAGACGAGGCACCGCTTCAGAACACTGAAGTTATCAGCTAACTTTTGCAGCCAATTTCGAGAATAATTGATTAGCTAACCAAGATCCCAGCCGTTGACCGTCGAAGCCGCCGGACTTAGTGCCTATGGATTTTTATCTTTGCGAAAGAATAAAGGCTCTTATTTTTAAATTGCCTGTATAATCTAGACAAGGTTATGCGAGGGTATCTTTCCCCCCATTCGCGGCTACTACATTCGCAGTTCGAAGCCTACTTATTCAAAGTGGGCGAATTTTTAAAAACTCTATATCTCGAAGAGGAATCGAGCAAAATATCAAGTATGTTATATATTTGGAAAGGTAATTTTAAATTATTTTCAATGAATTAAAAATATACAGTGTGTCGTGAAATATGAAAAATCAAAATTTCTGTTGATAATTCTTAAATTATTGATTTTAAAAAAATTATACTTAATCCATTAAATTCTACGTAAGAAGGTGCTTTGGAAATGTTTTTATAAAAATGCAAAATTTTCCATAGCAAAAAAGTTACAGCGATTTTTTAAAAATGTACATTTTTGAAAACCCCCGTAACTCATAAACGGTAACAGTGCGATTTTCACCATCATGTTTTTGATAAAAATTGAGCTCCTGACACCGACATTAGTTTTCGTTTATCTCCTATAGAAAAGGGCGTTTCCCTTTAAAAGCGTCCAATTTGACCCACCCTGTACAGTGTGCGATTATTGCTAGACAAAAACAGTTATCTGGCCTCTTCTTTTTGATATTAAGGGATATATTCTATATCTTTCTTTTATAGGGCGCCTGTAATAGGCATAGCCGTACTTGACGGATCCAGTAAACCACTGCCTGAGCCTCTGGAAGTCGAGAAAGGAGTAGCACCACTTCCAGACACAACGCAAGCACACAGGGTGATCATCGCATCGGAAGAACAGTTCAAAATCTTTACTTTGCCATCTCTAAAACCTTACGGAAAGTACAAACTTACTGCACATGAAGGTATGTAGTTTTCTTGCCATACATATTGTTTATTCAATTATCTATTTAAAAGTCACATACAACAATTTATTTTTTTAAGATTTGAAAATTAATCTTCATCCAATCTTTATCTCTAAAGCAATTTTTAAATCTTTTTAGGAGCCAGAGTAAGACGGATGGCATTTGCGTCATTTGGATGCACCTTACCAGAGGATAACTCCGCCTATTCCGAAGTGGACCTCCTGTGCCTTACCAATATGGGCGACTGTCTAGTTCTGACCATTCCAGATTTAAAACGGCAACTGAATTCCGCTGCTATAAAACGAGAAGATATTAAGTAAGTCAAAGATTTAGGTTTTAATATAATTTTTTTAATTAAAAATAATTGTTTTAGTGGAATATCTTCCTTGGTTTTCACGAAGCAAGCTGAAGCTTTATACCTTCATTCTTCCTCGGAATTGCAGAGGATATCTTTGTCGGCCACACAAGCCACATATCCCAGGTACGTTTATCAGTATTTTGTATTTAATATTTATAATAATGTTAAATTTCATTAAACTCTAAATAGATTGCCGGATAAACTAAGATGATTTTCTGCCATGAACTAAATACCAAAGTGACTTCGGTAACTTTATTGATATTGTCTATTTTCTTTTTAATTTTCTTATAACTAGCAAATAGTTGGTATAGTCTGTCCAACGACAAAATCCCTGACAGTGATAAATGTCTGTCATTTTAATTTCAAAGTAGTTTATTTTATTTTACAAAGAAATAAGTTGATACAATTGGAACGCATAGCATGAAATTAAAAACTGTATAAAACTAATTGAGTCTTTTTTTAAATTACTATCTGTATTAATACAAAAGAAACAAGGGTGTATTTTAAACAAAACACCACATACCAAAAATATATTAAAAAGAACGATTTCTTACTTTTAAACTTAAGAAACTTTGTGCTTCTTCTTCTTCTAGTGCAGATCCATTAATGGATGTTTGCGATAACATTTTCCATTGCTTCTCTGTTCCGTGCGGTGTGTATTAACGACTGAACATCGTGTAGCCTTCTCCACTGTCTAATATTCCTCAGCCAAGACATTTTCTTCCTTCCGATACCCCTCCGGCCTTCGATCTTGCCTTCGATCAACAAATGCAAGAATTGATATTTGGGGTTTCGCATTATGTGCCCCAGGTATGCGGTTTTTTTCTTTTTAATCAATTCAAACAATTCACGCTCTTTGTCAACACGTCTGAGAACTTCTTCATTTGTCAATCAGCCGTCCAAGGTATCTTCAAGATTCGGCGATATAGCCACATCTCGAAAACCTTCAATTTGTTGATGGTAGCTGCTTTCAATGTCCAACCTTCCATACCATAAAGGAGCACCGACGACACATAACACTACGAATCTTAATCTAAGGCTAAGGTCAAAATCAGAACAGACAAGTACTTTTCGAAACCTCAAGAATGCCTGCCGAGCTTGTTCGATGCGACATTTAATTTCCTTGTCTGATGTCCAATCTTCGGAGAGCCAGATGTCCAAGTACTTATCGACTAAATTTATCGACTCTTTCTATGGGCGTTGAGTTAAATGTTGATGATGGATGAAGTTTATAAACACATCTGGGTTTCTGGATATTATCATAAATTTGGTTTATTTGATGTCAATGTAAACCCATTGCTTTGCTCTGTTCTCCTACCTTGTTGACCAGTTGTAGGTCGTGTATATTGTCTGCAATTAAGACCGTATCGTCGGCATAGCGGATATTTAAACTAACTATAACGATATTTAAACTAAACTTTGTGCAGTTATTATATTTATTAATATAAATTTTTATGTAAAAATATATATATTTTAATTTTGCACAGAAATAAATAGGTACAACACAACATAAATAAAACAAAATATTCTATTAATAATAATACATAACTGAATTGTAATGCATTAATAGTTGATTAATTTCAATCTTAATTTTTTTTAAACCAGTACCTTTTGATATTTGTTATATCTCTGCAGTACTAAAATCTATTATTTACCTATCGTGTGATGGTGTTACTTTACAGCTACTCCAGTTTTTAGTACCATATACAACATGGCATACAAACTTTATTGGTGGCTCTCTGGACACCGAATATTAACTATAAACTGTGCTCTGTGTCTAGACTTAATTTTCCCTCCACTTAACTTCAATAAACACAAAACGCACGACCCAAAATGCAACAGTTGATAAATATTCGAATTTCTTAAATTTATTGCCACCCAAACGGGCAAAATAAGTATAACCAACTATTTCAATCATTTTGAATCGCTGTGTATATGGGTAATTATTTTGTTTAAGATGTTATTTGCCTATTCCGGAAAGTACGAACGAAGATGAGACTTTAACAGGCAGCAACGAAATTATTAACACTGAAGAAGCGACAGAGCCCCCTTTAGTTAATGGTGCTATGCAGAAAAGTAACAGTACCTTGGAGAAGGTAAATTATAAATATCTAGTTTTATTGTACTTCAATTAACAATACGGCGTGTTTAAGTATATTTCAGCCTGTAGTTTTCTCCGTAAATATACAGGGTGGCGCACCTCATTCGCCTCGGTTGTATATGTAAGGAGACAATGTGCACAATTTAAAATTATTTTGAAATATACAGGGTGTTTCAGAACTAAGATCCATACCAAAGTTATATTTTTTCTTATGGAACACCCGGTATTTTATTTCATTTTTGGATTCTTGGGCCCAAAAAAGGCATTTATTATAAGGGTTAAATATGTTTAAAATCTTTAGTTTTTGAGATATTTAAACATATTTAAATTTGCATGCTACAATAAAATGGACTTTTGAGAATTAATTCTTATGCTGAGTTTAAAGGTAGAGAAATAAACTTTACTGAAAAATAGTATTGGTTCCTTAAATTTATACAGGGCTATCAAAAGTTGCTGATCTATTTTAAGGATATATTTTATAAAAAAAACTTCGTTATTTCAAATACAACGCCTTGTATTTTTTTAGACATATCGAAGCAGATTCAAATGCTCTTTCAAACTAAATTACGGTTTCCTATACCTATCTAGCTCAGATTTTGAATAAAAAGCGATTTTTAAATAAAATTGCAATCAAGATGGCTGGTGTCGCCATGGAAATTTTCTAGTGACAGTTAGTAACTATTTTCAAAGTCGACATTAGTTTATGGACATTATTATTTATAATTTATAACAGTTTACTTAAATTTACCTACAATAGTTTAATAACTAAGTATTCATTATTTTATCAAGAAAAATAAAGCAATATCTGCTGGCGGAACGAATAGATATGTTACTAGTGATATTATTTTGTGAGAAAAATTGCTCAAGGGTTTATGGTCAAAGATATCCAAATAGGAATATTTCTGATAAGCGTTTCTTTGAAAAACTTCTTGTCCTTTTCGCAGAGCTGGTAGTGTGGTTTATAAAAAACTTATTAGATTAGGCAGAAACCTGTCATTGGAAGTGAATAAAATGAATTTGCCGTAATTGCCTATTTTATAGAAAATCCATATATCTACAAGTCATCGTAAAATAATTCAAAGAACTACTTCTTCGTTTTTCTTGATAGAATAATATACAAATATTTAATAAATATTATTTATTAAACTACTGTAGGTAAATTAAATAATAGTAAACTGGTATAAATTTAAATAAGTAAATAAGCTACTAACTGTCACTAGAAACTTGCCATGACAACACTAGCCATCTTGATTACAATTTTATTGAAAAATCCATTTTTATTCAAAAGCTGAGCCAGATAGCTATAGGAAACCCTAATATAGTTTGAAAGAGCATTTAAATCTGCTTCGACTTATTTAAAAAAATACATAGTGTTGCATTTGAAATAACGAAATTTTTATATAGAGTAAATATTTAAAATAGACCTGCAATTTTTGATGCCCCTGTATACATTTAAGGAAGGAATAACATTTTTCTGTAAAGTTTATTTCTCTGCCTTTAAACTCAGCACAAGAACTAATTCGGAAAAGTAATGTACAGGGTGTTAATAATCTGTTTTATTGTAGCATGCAAATTTAAATATCTTTATAAATATCTCAAAAACCAAAGATTTTAAACATATTTAACCCTTATAATAAATACCTTTTTTTGGGCGCAAGAATCCAAAAATGAAATAAAATACCAGGTGTTCCATAAGAAAAAATATAACTTTGGTATGGATCTTAGTTCTGAAACACCCTGTACATTTCAAAATAATTTTAAATTGTGCACATTACCTCCCCACATATACCCATAAAATATTTTGTTTCTACATCTTTCCGTTTTCGTATAATCAACCGAGGTGCCCCATCCTGTATTTTTTAAGTCTAAATTATGAATATTTTAGAGTTTTGAAAGTTATTAGCTGTATTTTTAATTGGATCTATTTTTATTCAATTGTAGGTAGATGAAGTACCAGAAAATGGCAACGACAGTCCGCTCAACGTGACAGTGGCAAGCAGCGTCGGCGATATCACAATTGACAGTGTTAAAGACCATTTGGGCTCTGGTAAGTTTTTCTTACAATGTTATTAGTACAAATTTTATGTCAATGTGTAGTTAGGGAGAGCTATGTTTAACCTAAATATGTGTTTAAAAATGCTGCTATACGAGTAGAAATTATAAATGATTTTTAAGCTGTTATTTAAAAAAATATACGTTTTTTATTTATTGCTTGACACTGAAACATAATAATATAAAAAATAACCTTTCAGTAACTCTCAAGCTTAAAGATTATAAAACTAGTGCTATTGCTAATTGTTTAGGCGAAGGTGAGATTACCATTACGAAAATTACCACAACGACTGTGACGACATCATCAAGTACAGAGCAAGAAAATAGTAAGTGATATTATTTAGTTTTATTTTGCAATATATGTAGAAAATGTAGAGTTCTTTCTGTGAAATGATAACAAATTTTATACACGACTTCGTACAAAAAAATGCAACATAATTTGTTTGAAAGATAGGATTTCCACAGTTTATTCATTACGAATGGGTTTTCTTGGTTTGTTTTTTGTGTAACTGCGTGTCACCTACTACACCTACTCATACACATGCCAGCAGTCAAAGCACCATGCTCGGTCGTTGTTTTTTTAAATGAAGCTTGAACGAAGCCCAGAATCTGACTTTGACGTGTTTGCGCAGATTTCTGTCGGCAGGCTGGTTATGAATAAGTTTCACAGAACTTCAGTACGCTGATGATTGCGCTCTAGTTGCAAAAATGTTACAGCAATTACAAGAAATGCTGAACACATATACTTGAGCATACGAGGCTTTGGGCCAGACGACACTAAAACTCACGAAAACCTCGGAAGCATTCGGATCCTACACGGAGAGTTCGGTTTTGTTCGGCGAGAAGCGGGAATTTTGAACATTATGAATAATCGAGAATCGAATAATAATCACAGACAATTATTTTATTATGCGAAATTGCTAACAGTAGTTGACTGTTTCGGTTGTTCATTTTGTTTTTTATAGTTTTTGACTATTTTTAGAAATATGGCTATATTTAAAAACTGATCTGCATTCATATATTTTTAAAACATACAAATGCCATTAAAGTTACGAAATGTAATTTGTCATTATTTGCTCATTTTAAAGAAGGAAGGTGGTTAATGTATATGGCTGATATTTCGTTATATACATATATTGCCTACATCAAGTGATTTTAGTCAAAGTTGCATGGATTATTGGTGTAAATTAAAAATTGTTTCATTTGCAGATTCATGATCACTATCTAATTTGATGCATAAGTGAGAACCATAGCTTTACTTGGAGAGAGCTCATTATTCTCAAATTCTATTCTCAAATCTTTTATTAAAATATCAGTTCTTAAATTGAATCACATTTTCATGGGGAAATAAACGTTTTGGGAAAATTTGTTAGCTTAATTACTGTAACATATTAGAAATAAAAAAACAAATTTATAGTTCTAATTTTATTAGAATGTTGCAGTTTCCATTACGGCCTATAAGAAGAAACTGCAAGAAACTTATAGCTGTTCTATGTCAAGAAAATACAATAATTACAACAATACAATACAATAATTTTAACAATAAACGATACCACATTGTACAGAGTAGTAGTAAGTAGTACAAAATAAATATAAAACCCTTAACCAACAGTCAATACATATTTACTTAAGTCAGACCAAAAACAAAATAAATAAAGCCTTAAACCAATAACCTCTTTCACTTTATTGGGAATAATTCTTGCTTATCCATTTTCCTTTTATCGCTCATTATATGGTCTTTTTATTGAACTACTGGCCTTCTCTGTTCATTTAGAACAATAATTGCTGATGTGTCCTAAAAATAAAAAGAGACTATTTGGCATAGTGTTTTCTTTTTCATTTCTATTTTACCTACCTGGCTGATTTACTATGATTACGATAATAATTGTAAGTTTTTTTCCACATAGTCATTATATCTTCTTGGCTTGGCGAATGCATAATTTATCTTGATCTTCTGCTTTTCATACCACAGTTTATAACTTTCCTTTGTAGCAAAGTCATAGGCAAAGTTATGTGTTTCCATTTCCAAATTTACTTCATGGTGTTTACCTTCAAATGTTGCAATATACTGCAACTTCCACAAACTATACAGACTACCATATTTAGTAGAGTACACAGTGGGCAAATAATACGTTTCTTCCAGGTTTCTTCTTATTATAGTATTTTTCACAAAATTAAGTGAAACAACACAAATTAAAAATAATCTAGTCTGTAATATTAATTATCAAAGTTCTATGAATCGCTGGATCCCCAAAACGCATTCACAAATTGTAAATCTTCTTTAAATGCTTTTAGTATTTTTTGTATTATTTAAAAATACAGGAATGCTGTTGAGTTTTTAACTTTGTTTTTAAATAGGGCCATATTTACTCTGATATTTATAAAAGTGCCGTTGTTTACAAAGTCCATCAGTGGCAAAGTTCAGCTGAGTTTGACGTAGACCGCGGTTGCGCGGTTCAGCTTCCGAGTATTTTGTCCTTAGAGAAGGAAAGAGAGACTCTCTTTCCTTGTCTAGGGTAACGTGAGTTTTAGTGTCGTCTCTTTGGGCCTTAAGCTGAACATCGATAAAACTATGTGCACTCCCCCGGAAAATCATAACAGCGCTATAAATAGCGGAGGAGAACTATAGGAAAAAGTAGCAGAGAGAATTCAAGTAGCAGCGCCTCAAGAGCATTCTGGAAATTAAAAGACAGGGTTTTCTACAATCATGACTTGGGCACAAAAACGAAACTTGCAGTGTACCGAGCAATGATAATCCCCACCATGTTATATGGAAGCGAAACCTGGGTGCCGTACTGCCGGCACACGAACGTATTTGACAACTGTTAAGAATCAAATGGTACCACCATGTCTCCAACGTATAACTCCTTGAAAAAGTCAGCTGCGAGAGCGCTGAAGTCATGATTACTAAATCCCGCTTAAGATGGGCTGGCCACGTATGCAGGATGCAAGAAAACCGCCTACCGAAATCTCTTCTTTAAGGTGAGCTTGTAGAGGGTAAGAGGAAACCGGGTGGACAACTCAAAAGATACAAGGATATTTTCCATGAAAACTTAAAGGGGTTAAGCATGTAAAACAGAGAGTGGGAGTAAGCAGTGCTCAATAGAACACAATGGAGAGCAATTGTAAACTCGGTTAACAACGACAACCAAAAAATAAAAAGGCAACAAAGTAATGAGATTTTTGAATGTCCGGAGTGCGGAAGAGAGGTAACATCACGTATCGGGCTTTTCAGTCACAGAAAAGTTCATGAAAGAAAACGCCTTGCGTAACCATCTTCTGATGCGTGTCAAATACTCGTCAGCGAGTAATGGCAGTAAGTAAGTAAGTATGAATAAGCTGTGGTATTATACAAGATGTCAAATCTCAAAATGAGAAGTACGGTATATAAAGAAAAATATTTTCTTGGAAGAACTTTGCCCATAATTACTTAGCTTCTTTCTTCAATTTGTAATTAATTTATATTTTTTTAGAACTAAGAAATAATTAGATCAAATTACTTTTGTTTTTTATTAGCTATTTGTATTATATTTTATTATTTAAAAAGTATTAAACTAATTAAAAAAATATATTATAAAACTATATTTTCAACTAAAAGTATTTTTAGAAATTTTTCCTAAAGCTGTATATTGCTTTTTTATGTAGAATATACAGATTTAATATTGGTGTTGGACCCTGTTTAGTGGTTCAGGATACTTCTAAGTTTATGTTTCTTTTTCATTTTATTTACTGTTTATTGTCTAAATATTTAGAAAGATAATTAGAACTTTGTCGTTTTTGGGTTAAGGTAATTACCAAAATAATTTTTTCCTATTTCAGCCTTTTATATATTGCGATATATGTTAATTTTACTATTATATACTAAACAGATAACCCTTCCTTTAAGTGTTTTTATCTCGTAGTATTAAGTAAAAAAAAATTAATGACATTTATTTTATCTGTTTTATTTGTATTGTGCGGCGTTCGAAGTTTTTAAAATTTATTATTTTTGTTGAACAATTGGTAAATCTGTTTTATTTAGTTGCTTTATATGTTGCTAAGATTGTTTGTTCTTGCTTTTGTAGTCATAGAGAATCACGTCACAGGAGCAGGAATACCGTTGGAGGTTAGATATAAATCCACTGTTATTAGTTTGTGGTGATGGAAATAGTCTGTAGCAGCATGCATTTAATATTAAATTGTATATATGTGCACCTAAGTAAAGCTGGGACATTTATATTTAATTCAAATTAACAGATTCGAGATAAAAGAAAAAAGTACTAATACCACAGTTATTATTAAAAACGTTTAGTGATTTATGTTGACATAATGTAATTTTCAAATTTTTTAATACTTTCAAGATTAATTTTAGTATTACATACATCAGAAATAAAATAGATATACAATATAGTATTTCTTGCTTAAGTAAGTTAGGAAAATTAAAATACACACACCGGAAAAGTCTAGGGATATTACAATTTTATCCAGCCATCGTCAGTAATTTTATTATTTGCATTTCTGATATAATAAAATTACAATAAACAAATAGTTTACAGGACGTATTGGAAATAAAAATGCGAAATTTACCGAATTTTTCAAATTTACCTTGATTTTTATTGAACTCAAAAAAATACACATATTTTTTTTTATTCTAAACTGTGAATTAAAAAAAAGATAAAAACCATTTTTACTTAATAAAGGGTATGGCTTCCTCTACTGTTCATTACAGCCCTACATCGTCTCTCCATGCTCCTGATCAGATTGTCGATCTCTTCTTGAGATACAGCGTGCCACGCTGCATTCACGGCCCGAACCAGATCCCTACGAGTTTCAGGAGGCATACCCATTCTCAAAATTCTTCTTTGGACCGCGTCCCCTACGTGCTCGATGGGGTTGAGGTCAGGAGATTGTGCCGGCCAGGGTAAGATGTTTAATTGATGAGCATTGATAAACTCACCACTCTGGCTGTATGAGGCCGTGCATTGTCATGCATGAGAATGAAGTTTCTCCCAAAATCATTGGCATATGGTAACACGACAGGCTCAAGAATTAAATCACGATATGTGATTCCTGTTAGAAACCTTTCAAGAAAAACGAGATCGGTTTTTCGGCCTAACTGGACTCCTCCCCAGACCATAACTGTTCCACCTTGATTAGGGTGCACTTCCTGAACATGATCCAATCGAATAAGATTTCCCGGTTCTCTCCATACCCTAAGCCTTCTCAAATCCGGATGAATTCCAAAGCGTGACTCATCCGTAAAGAGAACATTGGCCCATTGTTCATTCGACCACTGAACATGATCTTGAGCCCACAAATATCGTACCTCTCGATTTCCTCTCGTTAAGAGTTGAGCTCTCCAGGGGTGTCTGCTTCTTAAGTTGACCTCTCTTAATCTATTGCGAACAGTGTCAGGACTAACGGTTACATTATGTGTTTCCTGGAGAATTAAACTAAGCTCTGGTGCTGTAAGAGTCGGTCGGCGTCGAGCATTTAATTGTAAAAAATGATCTTGCTGAGGGGTAGTAATGCAATGTCGCCCTGTGTGCCTTTCAGCAACATCACCACTTTCACGGTAGCGTGCACTTAATCGCGATATTACACTTTGCGTTGTATTTAATGCTCTAGCTACGTCGATTTGGCGCATTCCAGCTTCGAGCATACCCATGGCCCTTAGCATTTCGTCTCTGTTAAGATGTCTACGCTCCATAATGTCGTTTAATACTAAACAGAGTTATCTGAATGAATTCTGGCCAGTTATCATAAAAACATAGCCAGTACAGGTTAAATTCGAACAATTGATGCTAGGTGCTTTTTATACATTTGACAAAAAATGCCCAAACACTTCTGCAAATATCCCAAATTTAGAAATAACTAGTGTGACTACTTCGTTTCAATCGAAGTAGAAAGAATCGGCCTACAAATATGTGGTTGTTTATTCAAAACATTTATTTTTAACTTTAATAAAATGATATCCCTAGATTTTTCCGGTGTGTGTATTAACTTCGTTTCTACAATTGCTTTACATAGCCTACAGAGTAGTATAAATATAAGTATTTATTATAATTTAGAAAATTACATGTTATGTGATAGCTAAGAGAGAGAATAACAATAATATTTACACTTTCTCCTCATATTCCAAAATTCTAAGCACAAGGTTTTTTGATGAATATTAAATGTAAAATTATCTTGTAGTATATAATATGTATTTATATCTAACCTAAAATTAACACTATAAATATTGTATACTACGCATTTGCAAGTTATGATATAGCTTGATAATACAACCAACAGTATTTTTTCCAAGTTTGTAGGTTAAACAATTCCAAGGCCAAGATATTGCAGTTCGGGCAAATAAATTATAAACTCCATTTTCTTTAAACAGTTTACCTTCCTTGACTGATTTATTTAATGAAATCGGTATTATTTAGGTTGTATTATCAAGGTGTATGAAGAAAATTGTAGCAGTAGTCCAATCAATCTGAAATTTTAAGTTGCATTAGTTTATTACAAGCTGTTTTTTTTTATTTAAGTCTCTTTTACTATACTTTTAGGTTTGAAAAGCGAAACACGTATCACTGTTTAACTTAATATAAACGTTGAGACCGAGACTTTGAGTCTGTTTTCTACTTCTTTTTAATACCAAATCTCGTTTTTTTGTGTGAAAAAATAGAAAAGTTATAGGGGCGAGCCACATTTGAGACTCACCCGGTATAAGCTTGTAAAAAATTAACGCACCTTAAATAGTCTTTTTGGATAAATTGAGTGGACTACTCTTATAGTATATCTATAATAGGTAGAATGGTTCATTTGTGTTGACGTATTTAACAAAATCTATATCTTTTTCAGATTAGGAAAATTCAAGTGAGTGACCTTTTGCTTCGAGCGCCTTTAGCTTTGGCTGAAGAGGACACAGAGACAAATCATATTTCAAACTGATATACGCTACATCCGAAACAGTGATCGGTGATCGCTAAGATGTGCTGAGACGCGGCATCATTGCTATTTTCTATCACATAAAATATATATGTAACTCCATCAACAACAGAACATCAATTGAATTTTTCGATTTGTTTAATTTTTTCTATTCGTAACTTTTAATTAAGAGTAAATTAATTTTGAAACGGACAAAAGTAAGATTTAAAAAAATATGGTATTTTTAATTTTTATAGTATTATTTATGAGATCAGTATTTCGTATTTTATTCTTGTAGCATTAATGTGTGTCATAAAAAATTGTAGTGTACATATATAGTAATTTATATCTTTTTTCTTGATATACAAACGTTAATGATACCAATATAATGTTTTTTATAGTTATATATTTTAATAAATGGTGCTACATTTATAAAAAAAATATATTTTGTAAGACAAAATTAAGTTAGGTACATTACTACTTATATATGTTTAAAAAATGGTCCGATATAAGTTGAATAAGTATTTTATAAGAACATCTATGATTCTTATTGATATTCTTACTTTCCTTCTATTCTTTAGTCATTGTTTCTACCCTTACTGTGACGTGGTCTTCATTTGATCACACTATAGTTTTTTGCAATTATTATTTTATATTATTAAAAATGTCTGGATCTTAGCACCAATTGAGTATTCGTTTTGTACTTATTAGTTTTTAGGCACAAATATTGGGACCATGTATGATTTTCGGATATACGAAATACTGTTCAAAAAAAAATCTAAATATACACTCAGATGCAAAAAAACGCTGAAAATTTTTTTGTCAAATTTAAAGTGTTATATTTTTGTTATTTTTAGCCCTATTTTCATGATTTTTTTAGCAACCTGTATATAATTTTATCAACTTTAATTCGTAAACTCAGTTTTTTATAAACTTTAGTATTTGGCATATTATACAGGGTTAATCGAGGGGTTGTTTTTTACCCTTTCTTTAAAACACCCTGTGCAATAATTTCGTGTGTAAATTTTTCTGAAATATAATTTTACGGTCAGAACTAGGGAATGCAATCCCGCACCAAAATCTCAATCCCGCAAACCCGCGGGATTAAAGCAATCAATCCCGCGGATCCGCAAAATTGCGGGACTAAACAATAGTCATACATTTGGTCCTAAATGGTACAAAAGGCATTGAACATTTTGCATAGGCCCACAATATATTGATAGAGCTTGTATCTTAAACTAGCTGTACATAAATTTGGACCGATGTATACAGAGTGTTCAAAAAATATATTTAATATTAAATAAACTTAAATTTTATTATAATTTATCTACTTATTTTATAAATAAAAATATTATTCTGATGTTGAAGTTTTTTTTTAACTTGTGTTAGTTATCTGCTTTTAGATACACTCTATATCTATAATTTTTTGGCATATGCAGAATGTACAAAGCTTTTTGTACCATTTAGGACCATATGACCAAACGTATGACAATACGTATGACTAAAAATGCATATTTTTCGAAAAAAAACGTCGTATTTTCCTTAAAACAAAAAAAATTAAAAAACCGATCAAATTGTTTTTTTCTAATTTCAATACAGATTAGTCGTACTTGGTAAAAATTTCGATTTTTTAAAAATTGTAAATTTGCGGTAAAAACGATTCTTGACCAAATTTGCACACTCTTATAAAACACCCTGTATGCGTGAATTCACTAAATATATTTTCGAAAACCATATAGCATCTTAATCACAATAGATGTATCTAAAACCTGGTCCAAACCGGAACCTGGTCTTTTTTAGTTCAAAAGATATTCAACTTTAAATTTACCCTAAAATTTTGCGTCTTCCGATAATTATGTACGGTAGTTTATTTGACAAAACTGTCCACAAGTACTAGTTAAACGCTTTTCTTCACTTAAGCACATACGCCAGAAAGAAATCTAACAACTAACCTGTTCGTTTCCCTCATTTTTACTGGCCAAGCTATAAGGGGAATCCCCCGGGTTCCGAGCGTCGACGCATCGGCCCGGAACGAAGCGGTTTGATCTTGATTGAAATCGATTCGGTTACCCAGTAGTAGGGAATGCAATCCCGCAAATGCAGGATCCCACAAATGCGGGATCCCTCTGAGATTCCGCGGGATCAAAGTTGTGGGATTTACTGTGCGGGATCCGCGGGATCGACACATTACTACTGGGTAACGATTAACATCAAATCTCTTCGTTCCGGGCCGATGCGTCGACGTTCGGAACCCGGAGGATTCCCCTTACGGCTTGGTCGTTAGAAATAAGTGAAACAAACAGGCTAGTTGTTAGATTTCTTTCTGACGTATGTGCGTACGTGAAGAAAGCGTTTAACTAGTAGTTGTGGATAATTTCGTCAAATAAATTGCCGGATATAATTATTGGGACAAGCAAAATTTTAGGGTAAATTTAAAGTTGAATATCTCTTAAACTAAAAAAGATTTTGGGATGCGGTTTGGACCAGGTTTTAGATGAATCTATTGTGATTAAGATGCTGTGTGGTTTTCGAAAATATATTTAGCCAATTCTTGTATACAGGGTGTTTTATAAGAGTGTGAAAATTTGATCAAGAATCTTTTTTACCGCAAATTTACAATTTTTAAAAAACCGAAATTTTTACCAAGTACGACTAATCTGTATTGAAATTAGAAAAAACAATTTGATCGGTTTTTTAATTTTTTTTTGTTTTAAGGAAAATACGACGTTTTTTCGACGAAAAATATGCATTTTTAGTCATACGTATGGCCCTAAATGGCACAAAAAGCTTTGTACATTCTGCATATGCCAAAATATTATTGATATAGAGTGTATCTAAAAGCAGATAACTAACGCAAGTTAAAAAAAAACTTCAACATTAGAATAATATTTTTATTCATAAAATAAGTAGATAAATTATAATAAAATTTCAGTTTATTTAATATTAAATATATTTTTTGAACACCCTGTATACATCGTTCCAAATTTCTGTACAGCTAGTTTAAGATACACGCTATATCAATATATTGTGGAATATTTAGGAGCAAATGTATGACCATTGTTTACAGTCCCGCAATTTTGTGGATCCGCGGGATTGATTGCTTTAATCCCGCGGGTTTGCGGGATTGAGATTTTGTTGCGGGATTGCATTCCCTACCCAGTAGTAATGTGTCGATCCCGCACGGAAAATCCCGCGGAATCTCAGAGGGATCCCGCATTTGCGGGATTGCATTCCCTAGTCAAAACCATGTCGCCTAAGCATTTTGTTTTTTGGATCATGTCAAAATATGCTTTGATTAATTTTTAAGAGCGAAATGAACTTCACACCAACAATTTGCAATTTTTTCAACTATCATTTCTTTTTGAAGTTATTTTTCAATATGACAAGTCGGCTTTGGTGATTATTTTGAACCATATACTACTATGAACTGCCCATCATGTTCGACGTTTGTAACATGCTTGGCAAGATGGTTAGAGGTCGCGAAGCGGTACCAGCTTCATTAAATGAACTTCGCTTGGTTCTTAAAGAAGAATGGGAAAGCATAACGCAATATGATATATGCAACCTCAGTGACAGTATGAACGGAAGTATACAGGGAGTTATAGGTAATGCAACGTATTAGGGTCCTTTTTACAATTTTTTTTCTGTTTATATGCTTAAGTATTACAAATGCTTTCTTTAATATTGTTAGTTCTGTTATCGTTATTAATGTTTATTAAAACCAGAAATGTGTCGTTAGTCTTTAACGTTTTTTTTATTTAGTATAAAGTATCCAATGCAGTATAATATGACATTACGACAATTGTCACCAAAACCATCTTATCATATTAAATAATTACATCAAAAAGGAATGATAATTGAAAAAATTGCAAATTGATCGTGATCAGTTCATTTCGCTCTTAAAAATTAACCAAAGGATGTATTGACATAAGCCAAAAAACAAAATGCTCAGGGTTCATGGCTCTGACTGTAAAATTATATTTTCGGAAAATTTACACACGAAATTATTGCATAGGGTGTTTTAAAGTTAGGGTAAAAAGACAACCCCTCGATTAACCCTGTATAATATGCCAAATACTAAAGTTTATAAAAAACTTAGTTTACGAATTAAAGTTGATATAATTATACACAATTTGTTAAAAAAATCATAAAAATAGGGCTAAAAATAACAAAAATATAACACTTTAAATTTTATCAAAAATTTTTCCGTTGCGTTTTTTTTGCATCTGCGTGTACTTTAATAACCAATATTTTTGATTAAGGAAATGTTTAAGCCTCTTTAAATTAGCTTTGTTAAGTGTTTCAATTTTTTGTTTATCGATTGTTATCTACGTTTTTTTTTTAAGTTAGTACTAGTTGATTGTGGATCAATGGTAGTGTTGATGGTTGTGCAACTAGATACTAGAAGTTTTATTGTAAATGATTCCATAGTTTCAAATTTTTTAATTGTAACGTTTAATTACCTTGTCATAATTATGTTTAGTGTTAATACGTCGCCTCAAGAGGTTTTCTTTTTTCTACAAAGCATTTAAAAACGAGTATAATTACCCTAAAGAAAATAAGTTATTAAATTTTAGGAGCAGCTTTTTAATATATAATTCGTGGTGGAGGTTCTATTTGCGAGCGAGCGAGTGAGTGAGAGAGTTTATACATATTTAAGAATAAGAAATATGGCCTTAATATAATATATATAATTTTTGTTAATATTTTATATTCGTACTATATATTGTCATTTATTCAAATCCATTATTTGCTATTTATGATTAAAATTTCACATGACAGAAACATCACTAAAACAATAAAAAAAATTATAAAAAACTGTAATGTGTTTTATTAATATTTCTTGTTATTGTAATTTTCCTAAATGACTAAATTATACCCTGTTATCGAAAAAAAAACGGCGTCCAGTTGGAAATTAACATCGATGCCATTCCCCATATAATTTTGCATATAAAATGATAGCGATCTTCATTTCGTAACCATCGCTGACCCTTTTTTTCGATCATATTGTATCTTTAAAACTAAACAGCAGCAATGGAGGTCATTCTAGATCTAACACCACTGCACATTGTCATTGGTAGATATGCCAATGCGACAATGATTAGAATGGTCACTAACGGAATTAGTACTGGGAGAATTGTCAGATCAGGGGCTTGGAACACCCTCAAAAAGGAAATACCACTCCTGCAACTCCCAGTGGACGATATGCCAAGAACGTACAACTTTGACAAACATGTCAATGTAGTATTGAGCAATAAGAAGGATTGGAAGAGCGAAACGCTTGCCCAGCAGTTAAAAGACCATACCATAACTTGGTATAGTGATGCTTCCAAAACCAATACGGGAACAGGGATCGGAGTGTTTGGGCCGAGAGCTAATTACTCTGAACCAATGGGCACTTACCCTAGTATCCTACAGGCAGAAATCTACGCTATCGGGAGATGCGTACAACTTATCTTAGATAGGAACTATCGGAAAAAAGAAATAACCATCTTGTCTGATAGTCAAGCAGCGTTAAAGGCGATGAACTCAGTATCAATCAATTCGAAATTGGTCAAAGAATGCATAGAGAAGCTGAATAAATTAGGCAAAGAAAACAAAGTCCTCCTACACTGGGTGCCTGCTCACCAAGAGATAGAAGGCAATGAAAAGCAAATAATCTAGCTAGGAAAGGAGCGAACACTCCACTAACTGGACCAGAACCGTTCTGCTTTCCAAGTGGTAACCAACTCAAGGCGGAACTCAAGAACTTGGAAGATTCCATCCGCAACCTGGAATGGAAATCTTGCAATGGTCTAAGACACTCGAAGAAGAAGTTTCTGAGGGCTTATGATCAAGAAAATCACAGATCTTCCTGGGTCTGAGTAAGA